TGGTTAATCGCATCCGATGTAAACAAAACACAGAATCGAACAGACCATGGTCAATGCTAGCGGAGGAGGCAGTGGAAGAGTATAACAACACTGTCCACTCCTCAACAGGTTTCTCACCAGCACACCTGCTTTTAGGAAAAGAGTCGGAATTAATACCGCAAGAACTTCGGAAAGTATCGAATTTACAAGCTGACCGAGAAATAGCGTTCCGGAATTCACAAAGATCACGAGATAGAAATTTCAAGAGAATTAATAAGAACAGAAAACACTACGACATTAAAGTAGGCGATCTTGTGTTTGTGAGCGTCGGAAACAAATTGAACAGAGGAAAACTTGATAAAGTGCGAAAGGGACCTTATAAAATTCTAAAGAAAGTTTCAAATACAATATACGAAGTAGATACAAAAAGAAAACAGCAAAATCGAATCGTCATCACATATCCAAATTAATTCCGGTCAGTGCGTCTGCTGTTGCAGAAATTCTTTCCCTGGACCGGTCCTCGGTCTCGTCGTTGGGGGGGGGGATGTAAGGTATGATATACCTTATGTGGAAACATCCCCACTCCATATAAACACGCGCTAGCCGTGGACACAGCGGCGTGTCGTTAGGAGATTGATTCGTGGCATGTCGCGGGTGAGTGACGCGAATAATATTAACACCATAGTTAATCCGCGTTTCACAGTGCAAATTTCTTTGCTTTAAACTACTCATTTTGGGTGAGATTATTCCGGGGGTCATTGGAACCCTGGACGGATCCTTACCTGTTGAATAACGACATCTTTTTCTTCGGCTTCTCCAGGTGAGGACTCGACCACGTGTTCATTATAATGTCGGAATTATTAATGTTTAATTGTTAATTCGGACATATTTATATCTTCTCATAAAATATATTACTCCATATTTTGGAAGAAACACCGAAGTTGCACGTTATTCTACAGAGATTGAAATATACCCTTACATATATATATATTGTTACGTCTCTGGTTCGAGTCGCGATCGAGTCCGGTTTGAGAAAAGAAGAAGCCCGTTGTTGACAGCAAGAGGTTGTTGACAGCAGCGTCTGTCATTTGAGTCTGGTCTCAGCTGTCTAGCTGTGCGAACGCGTTTTTTTCCCGAGCCGATTCGTTGTGCTATTTGTGTTATTCTTCCGTGTTATTTACGTTATCGTTTGTGTTCTGTGTTGTGTATTAAAGTTCCTTGCTTCTCTAAAAGTGCTTATTTATTTCGCGCGTCTCGCGAGCGGCCGATTAATAAGTGCGCGCTTTCGATCGAAGTCCTCGCCGCGGGCGTAACATATATAGTGCATATTTATTTATTTTAGATATAGTGCTCATATAATGATGTGTAAGTATAATGCCAAACACTTGCCTCTCTATGGTCAAAGATTACATACTTTATATATATACATTGTATATATTTATAGTAGTTAGTGCCAGAGACGATTTATTCATGAGCTAGCTGCTTTTAAAAGTATTTGTCTCAGAGGCAATGTATTCGTGTGCAGGTTTTTAAAAATATTTTATATCAAACGCGGTTGCATGAGCGCTATGGTAATTAAAAAACATTTGTCCCAAAGGCGATCTATTCGTGTGCTGGTTTCTAAAAATATTTTATATCAAATACAGTTTGCATGATCGCTGTGGTAATTAAAAAATATTTATCCCAGAGGCGGTCTAAAAAAATTTCAATGTAAAGATTATCTTCATTAATTAAAATTGGAGAAACAAAAAAGATATATTGCATCTTATAAAAATTGGCTTATTCTATATTCAGAAATTGTAAATTGAAGAAATTTATTATTCTATTCATATTTGCGATGAGATAAATATATAATGTAATGTAAATGTTTGTAAATTTATATTATAATTATATAATTTTCATATCATTTACATATACAACAATTATATATATAATATATTTACATATATATAATATATAACATATTTAATATATATATATATATATATATATATATATATATTTTAAACATGTATGAAATATATTATATATATGCATGTAAATCAATAAAAATATGATATTATCTCATTTCAATATATTTAACGCAATGCAAAGATTTTCTATTATATTATGCATGCTTCAAATAATAATGTCGGTAATAGCGTATCTAAAAATGTCGATATTATCGATATTATCGACATTTTTAGTTACATTTAGATAGGGGCACTAATCCGTCGGAGTTCGCCCGTCGCTTTAGGATCCCCTTAAAGCATAATTTTATGTTACTAGAACAATACAGGCGCGCGCTACGCGCGCGCTATTTATTTATTACAATTGATACTGCATATATATATAATATATATACATATATATATATATATATATATATATATATATATAATTTAAATTGGAAAATGGCAAGTTCTCATCAATATAAATTATATCGTTATGTCCTACCATATCGCATGGTAGGCGGAACAGAATACCATAGATGTAGCTAGACTTACGTTTTGGGGTAAGTTAAAAATATTATTATAGCTTTGATCTTAAAAACGAGAAAACCTCTATACAATATAAATCATTGTAATTACATTGTAGCAATATCTCTGTAATGTTTCATTGCAATATTGCAAATTACAATAAAACATTACAAAGACATTGCTACAATGTAATTGCACAGAAAAATCCACAAAATGTCAACACAGTTGCAAGATAACATAAACATTTCAAAAAAATTTTTAAATCAAAATTCTGCAATTATATTTTTTTAAAATAAAATATACAAACTATAGGTAATAAAGTAAATTATTCAATTTTTACTTATTTTATCCTTATAATTGCTTAAATATTACAAAATCAAATTATATAAAAAAGTAAGATTCACTTTAAGAGTTTGATTTAAAAAAAAATGAAATTTTTAATCTTCAAATCTATAAAATATAAAACTTTTACTTGTAAAAGTTATAAATTTTCATTTATAAAAAATAAATATAATACATAATTAGCATTTGCTTAAAATCATTCAATTTTTTTATATATGATAACTTTTCATATAGCATATAATTTTTTACAAATTGATAACTCAAGTATATAAATTAATAAATATCTCATGCTATATAGTACATTACAATAAATGAAAATAGAAATCTAGACATTTCTTCTTAATAAATTAAATTGTAAAAAAAAGTATTATAATACTTTTACATTTGGTACGATGCAACAAAAATGTTGATTACGCTGTATATATAACTGTGTATATAATAATAATAATAATAAAATTATTATAAGTATGATTAAGTAAGCACAATAGACATAAAAATAAATAAATTATAAATATACTATCGCATAAAATTATAATATATAACATAGATGTATAAAACAAAACATGATATTGTAAATTTATTATAATAAAAAAGTTGTAGAACATCAAACGAAAAATAAATTCAATATTAAAATATAAAAATAACATCAAAAACTTAGCTACTTTGTTTTTAATTTGAACTATTGAAAAGAATGTGAAATAAATCGAAATGTATAGAGCTCTATTACTTCTATTTGAATAGTTGAAATATATTTGTATCAGAACCTGTGAAAGATTTCAATTATACTTTTCATTATTTAATATAGTATTTATATACTTATTTTGTATAATATAATTTACATATTATATAATTGCATATTTACTTCACACACGTTATACATATTTAAATGAAACATTTGTTATTATATCAAATCAAAATTAAATTGATTCTATAGAATTTAATATTGAATTTTATTGCAATATTTTAGTTTATGACTCCTTTCTCAATAATAATAATTAATATAAATTAAGTAATACAATATATAAGTTTTATAATATTATTAAGCTTTAAAATAAGAATTATTTTAATTTTCTTTAAATAAATATTATTACATATTTAAAAATTTTAATAAATTATTTATAAAAATAGTATACATATTATGAAATAAACAATGCTTTATTTATCATGAAAACATATAAAAAAATAATATAATCTAATAAATTTAAAGAATCCTGATAAAATCAATTAGCATATATTGTAAAAGAATTTATTCACTTGAAACTAAATTGTTTCCAAATTAAAATCAATAAATATACAAATATATAAATATTAATTTATGTATTACATATTCATATCTTTTAAAATTACAAAACTGAAAAAAAAATATATATAAATTTTTTTATATAAAATTTGTATATATATCAAATAAAAGATAATAAAATGTAATATTATAAAGATCTTCATTTGAATAAAAAGAAACATCAACAAATATTTTCTCGTATATAAAAATTAATATATTTTAATAAAAATTTTTTATAAATTATAAACTTATTAATTAATTTATTATCAAATATGATTACAATTTAAATAGCTGTTTGTTAATTTTTATATTTGATTTATTATATCATTAAAAGATTAAGTGCAAATTTCAATTTACATAATTTAATCGATGTTTAATAATAAATAATTAATAAATTATCAATTTTAAAAAAATTTTTGATAAAAACTATTAATTTTTATATAAGGTAAAATATTTGTTAATATTTCTTATTCAAAGGTTTTTGTAATATTACAATTTGTTATAATTTATTTAATATATGTACAAATTTTATATTAGGTGAAGTAAAAAGTTCTGAGCGTTTTCCGCTAGATGTCTTTAATGAACCATATCTCACGATGTATACATCGCATCGGGTCATACGATACGGCGATTGAAAGGTGACATTACGCTTCAAAAAGGTTCTGTGACAGTTTTGTGTTTGGTCAAGCCAGTTGTGTGTTACAGCGTTCCAAAATGGAGGTAAAAAAAGAGAAAATTCGATACATTCTTCAGTACCACTACGACCAAGGTGAAAAGGCGGAGCAGGCGGCCAAAAAAATTTGAGCTGTTTATGGACCCAATACAGTATCAAATGCAACAGCAAAGCGGTGGTTCCAACGATTCCGTTCTGGTAATATGGACGTCGAAGATGAGGCACGCTCTGGTAGGCCAATCGTCGAAAATGTCGATAAAATCAAATCATGGAAATCGTCGAGTCGGACCGGCATGTGAGCACTTATTCCATTGCCCAGGAACTGAAGATTAGCCAAAAAACCGTTTGGAACCATTTGCATAAGGCTGGTCTCAAGAAGAAGCTCGATGTATGGGTGCCACACGAATTGACGCAAAAGAACCTTTTGGACCGAATTGATGCCTGCGATTCTTTGCTGAAACGTAACGAAATCGACCCATTTTTGGAGCGGATGGTAACTGGTGATGAAAAATGGGTCACATACGAGAACAACAGCCGAAAAAGATCATGGTCTAATCGCGGTGAGCCGGCCCAAATGATCGCCAAGCCCGGATTAACGGCCAAGAAGATTTTGCTGTGTGTTTGGTGGGATTGGAAAGGAATCATCCACTATGAGCTGCTCCCATCGGGCCAAACACTCAATTCGGACCTCTATTGTGAACAAATGACCAGATTGAAGCAGGCGATCGACCAGAAGCGGCTAGAATTGGCCAATAGGAAGAGTGTTGTGTTCCATCAAGACAACGCCAGGCCACACACATCATTAACGACGCGCCAGAAGCTCCGAGAGCTTGGATGGGAGGTTCTATTGCACCCGCCGTGTAGTCCAGACTTGGCACCAAGCGATTATCACCTTTTCAAGCATTTGCAAAATTTTCTTGATGGTACAAAACTGGCCTCAAGAGAGGCTTGTGAAAATGAGCTGGTCAAGTTTTTTACGAATAGGGACGAGGACTTCTTTAATCGCGGAATTATGAAATTGCCTTCAAAATGGACAAAAGTTATCGAACAAAACGGCGCATATTTGATCTAAATCGGATAATCCTAACTATGTTCATTTCATCGTCAAAATAAAGCGAAAAAACGCTCAGAACTTTTTACTTCACCCTATAATAAAATTTATATATATATATATATATATTTTTTTTTTCAGTTTTATAATTTTAGAAGATATACATTTGTAGTACAAAAATTTATATTTATATATTTGTATACTTATTATATCTTAATTTCGAAATAATTAAAGTATTGCAATAAAATTCAATATTAAATTTTATAGAATAAACAAATTTAATTTTGGTTTTATATATCAACAAATGCTTCATTTAAATATGTATAACGTGTGTAAAGCAAATATACATTTATATAATATATAAATTATATTATATAAAATAAGTACATAAATACTATATTAAATAAAGAAAAGTATAATTGAAATCATTCACATGTTCTGATACAAATATATTTCAATTATTCAAATTGAAGTAATAGAGCGCTCTATACATTTTGATTTACTTCACATTCTTCTCAATGGTTCAAATTAAAAACAAACCAGCTGAGTTTTTGACGTTATTTTTCTGTCTTAATATTGAACTTATTTTTCGTTTGGTGTTCTGCAACTTTTTCATTATAATAAATTTCTAACACAATATCATGTTTTGTACATCTGTATTACATATTATAATTTTATACGACAGTGTATTTATAGTTTTTTTTATTTTTGTGTCTATTGTGCTTACTCAATCATGCTAATAAATTTTTCATTATTATTATTATTATTATATTACACAATTATATATACAGCGTATATAATCAATATTTTTGTTGCATCATACCAAATCTAAAAGTAATTATAATACTTTTTTCAATTTTATTTATTAAGAAGATATAGAATAAAATCTAGATTTTTATCTCCTATTTATTCTAATGTCTTCTATTTATTGGAATGTACTATATAGTATGAGGAATTTATTAATTTATATAGTTTCTCAATGTTTATTATATACTTGAGTTATTAATTTGTAAAAAATTATATAATATGTTATATGAATAGTTATTACATTACAAAAAATTGAATGATTTTGAGCAGATGCTAATTATATATTATATTTATTTCTTATAAGTAAAAATTTATAACTTTTATAACTTTTAAGTAAAAGTTTTATATTTTAGAGATTTAAAGATTAAAAATTTCATTTTTTTTTAAATAAAACTTTTTAAGTGAACTTACTTTTTTATATAAAATGATTTTGTAATATTTAAACAATTATAAGGATATAAAATAAATAAAAATTGAATAGTTTAGTTTATTATCTATAGTTTGTATATATCCTATATATAACTATAGATTTTATTTTAAAAATATATAATTGTAAAATTTTAATTTAAAAATTTTTCTCAAATTTTTACGTTATCTTGCAACTGTGTTGGCAATTTGTAGATTTGTTCTTTGCAATGTCTTTGTAATGTTTCATTGCAACTTGCAAAATTGCAATGAAACATTACAGAGACATTCCTACAATGTAATTGTAATAATTTGTATTGTATGCAGGTTCTCTCGTTTTATCAAACATAGAATTATTTTTAACTCACTCCAAAACGTAAATAGCATCTATGGTAAGGATTCAAACGTCTAGTCCGTGGGCCGTACCTTTGACACCCCTGATCTATGGTATGTCTATTATGCCTATGTATATACTACACGATGTGGTAAAAGATAACGATTTCGTTGTATTAATGAGAGCTTGCTATTTCCAGTTTGACTGCGTCGAAAGAATAAGTAAGATTAAGTGTATTAATTATTAAATACACATTTAAGTGTTGATACGCGTTAAGTGCACAAGTATTAATACGCGATTAAGAACACGTTTAAGTGTTACGCAATTGAATATAAGAACACGATTAAAATTCACTTTCAACAGAACTTTGTTGAGGTAAGTTTACCATAATACCACAATATAATAAATTATAAGTTTATAATGTAATAAATTGTTATATTAAATTAATAGACACACACCACATATACATATACTTATTCACATTACTATTATTATGCAGATTATTATGAATGCTTTCTAACAATATATACAATGCTCCGATTTTATAACTTTTATTAACGACGATAACATTATTATTAATATTATTGTATACATATTTTGATGTTAAAATATGTATATAATACATGATAATGATAGTGATATTATCGTTAAAAATTATAAAATCGTAGTATAAGTAAAACCATAAAATATAGTATATATATATATATATATATATATATATATATATTTCAGTTTTGTAATTTTAAAAGATATAAATATGTAATATACAAATTTATATTTATATATTTGTATATTTATTAATCTTAATTTGAAAACGATTCATTTTCAAGTGAATAAATACTTTACAATATATTTAATACTTTTACAATATATTTGCTAATTGATTTTAATTTTATCAGAAGTTTTTAATTTTATCAGATATTATTTTTTCTATAAGTTTCGATGAATAAAACATTGTTTACATTATAATATGTATAAGATTTTTTATGAAAAATTTATTAAAATTTGTAAAAAATGTAATAATATTTAAAGAAAATTAAAATAATTCTTATTTGAAAGCTTAATAATATCATAAAACTTATATACAACTTATATATTACTTAATTTATATTAATTGTATTATTGTGTAAATGTAAAAGTATTATCATAACACTTTTTACAATTCAATTTATTAAGAAGAAATAGATCGAAATATTTAGATTTCTAGTCTTGAATTGAGAAGAAAAATAAATCAAAATGTTTGCATTTTTAATCTTAAGTTAAAAAAAATAAATCAAAAATTGTCTACATTTCTATTTCTATATAAACAATTAAAATTATGTTTGTATATTGAATATTATGAAAGGCTACAATGGTTCTTTGTATTAATTTTTCTAATTGTACGTTTTAAATACTTTTGTGTCATTCAAATAATTTGCAATTTTATTTTAAGAAGAGAATCTATAATAATTTTGCATATAATTTACATTATGATTTACAAAAAAAAACATTGACATTTAAAACATGACAAATTATTGATATAGAAGAATGAATAGAATATGTAAATTGTATTTTTTATATTTTCATCCCGTAATCAGGAAATAATATTTTTTAAAACATTTTTAAAAATTTTTATAAAATATTTTTGAAACACTATTTTAAAGCATTAAAATTATAAATCTTTTTTAATTCATTAAAAAAAAAATAATTATTTTAATATTTTCTTTAAATTATTATTTCAAACAACAGATTCATGTAAAATAATTAATGAAATATATACAGGGTGAGTCATTTTAATCAATACACTCGAATATCTCGAAAACAGCACTCTTCAGAAAAAAATGTTTCAAACAAAAATTGTAGGGTGTGAAGGGGACATAAGATGGTAGCATTGGTTTGACCTTGGAAAGTCATTTGAAGGTCACATAAAAGTCACCTTCAATTTCTTAAATTGAACCCACTATTTTTCATTACATATTCTTGTAGCTTATCTCGAGAGCTTTCTAAAACACTACAGACAAATGTTTTTTCATTAAGTACTTTTTGAGTTATAAGGCTTCAAAGTTTGCAGTACTTCAATATAAAATGCAAAATATCTCGTAAAATATTTAGTTTTCGGTAGTCTTACCCTAATACTTTTATGCACAGGATAATGAGACAAAACTATTGGTACAAAGAAAACGCATGATTGTTTATAAAAGTGCATTGCAAATTACACATTTTTTATTATAAACAATCATACGTTTTCTTTGCACCAATAGTTTTGTCTCATTATCCTGTGCATAAAAGTATTAGGGTAAGACTACCGAAAACTAAATATTTTACGAGATATTTTGCATTTTATATCGAAGTACTGCAAACTTTGAAGCCTTATAACTCAAAAGTATTTAATGAAAAAACATTTGTCCTGTAGTGTTTTGGAAAGCTCTCGAGATAAGCTACAAGAATATGTAATGAAAAATAGTGGGTTCAATTTAAGAAATTGAAGGTGACTTTTATGTGACCTTCAAATGACTTTCCAAGGTGACCTTCAAATGAACTTTCAAGTCAACCCAATGCTACCATCTTTATGGTTCCCCCTTCACACCTACAATTTTGTTTTGAAACATTTTCTTTCTGAAGAGTTGCTGTTTCGAGATATTCGAGTTGATTGATAAATGACCTCACCCGTTATATATATAATATAATCTCATCTTTGTATATTTTGTAGGATAATTTATTATTTTTGCATTCTTTACAATATTAAATCTAAAAATGTCACAATATAATTTGGATGATTTCGGAAGATCATAAACTCAAATCATTATATTTCAAAAACTCTGCAGAATCATATTGATAAACTTATTGAAATTGACAATTTAAATGCAATGAAAACTATTAACACCAAGTATGTACTTGAAAGTATAC